CATGACTCACGGACTTCAACTCCCAGAATTCCTCAGCCAGCATGGGGGAACTATGGCCCTCTTCATGACTCGTGGACTTCAACTCCCAGAATTCCTGAGCCAGCATGGGGGAACTATGGCCCCCTTCATGACTCGTGGACTTCAACTCCCAGAATTCCTCAGCCAGCATGGGGGAACTATGGCCCCCTTCATGACTTGTGGACTTCAACTTCCAGAATTCCTGAGCCCGCATGGCTCAGCTTGGAAGCCTCTCCCTTTCCCCTCAGCATGGCTGGCTCAGGAATTCTGGGAGTTAAAGTCCAGGGAGTCATAAAAGAGCCAAGGTTGTCTACCCCTCACATAGGGGCAGGGTCAGAAAAGTCAAGATGGTGGGCACAACCGTGTGGCTGAGTCCTGCCCCTTTAGGCTTGATTTTTTCTGACCGCTTCTGCAGGAGGCCATTTGGAGCTGAGCTGAGCGAGGCTCTGGATCTGTTTTGGGTGGAAGATCCTTTCTCCCTGCCGGGCCTGCTCGAGTCTCTTACCTTGAGTTCCACGGGGACAAGAGCACTTGTAGGTGTTGAGCAGGTCGATGCAGGTTCCGCCATTTTGGCAGGGGTAGGAAAGGCACTCCTTGATCTCCTCCGAGCAGTTCCTGCCATGGTAGCCGGCCACGCACTGCAAAGGGACAAGCAGACGCCTCTGAGCATGCAGGGAAGCCGGGCGGTCCTGCCACAAGCAGGGCCGGAGCATCAGGCTCCGAGCGTTAGCTGGGAAAGGGAGGAAGGACCCTATGTCCCTAGCCAGGCACCTTCCCAACCGGGCCCTGGGTGGCAGGTTGAAATCCTTCCCTGCAGCCACGGAAGCCCACTAGCCCTCATCCTTCCTGGGCGGGAAGCCTACCTCGCAGGAATAGCCGCCCAGGTAGTCCGTGCAGGTCGCCCCGTTCTGGCAAGGGTTCGGGGAGCACTCGTCCACTTGCTCTTCACAGTAGCTGCCCGTGTACCCAGGCTGGCAATGGCAGAGGTGGGTGTTGCCCCTGTCCACGCAGAGCCCGGAGTTTCTGCACAGGCGGGTAACGTCCAGCCCTGGAAGAGCCGCAGAGGGAGGCCATTAGACACGTGTGGCAGGCCTGGATGGAGCAGGTAGGCAGGGGCAGGACAAGGACCAAAACACAGTGTCCAGTCCCAAGTCTGGACAAACCCTTTCTTCCTCTCCTTGCACTTTTTGTGGTCTCCAGCCCAGGCCACCCCCATCCTCTCCATTCCTTCCTCTGGCCCCTCGCCGCCTCGCCCAACGGTGGAGACAGGAGGATTGACCTCAAAGCGAGTTGCCTGGATAGACTTACATTGGAACTCAAGGATAAAAGTGAAACTAAGCACTACAAAATCTGGGAACAATTTTACGATCGGATAGATGACAAGAGGGCAGCCAAGACAAATGTATAGTGTTAGAATAAAACATAAGATTATAGACAAATGTATATTTAAAAGATAAATAAATATACAGAAATAAGGGGAAAAGTGCTAACATTATATTATAAATAGCAAGCAAAGCTCAAGAACTATATGTCTATAGGAGTACTAATATTACTGTAAAGCAGTGGTTCTCAACCTTTTTAATGCCGCGACCCCAACCGGTCGTAAGTCGAGGACTAAACCGGTCATAAGTCGAGGACTAAACCGGTCGTAAGTCAAGGACTTTCCCTGCCCGGGAGCGCCACGCATGCGTGGTTCCGCCCCCTGCGCTGGCTGAGGCATAGCTGGCAAGCGACAGAGACGGAGCAGGCTGACCACCAGCTGGCCCAGCCCAAGGGAGGTAAGGCACCCGCCGGAAAAGGAGGAAAAAAATGGCGGACAAAAAAAATGGCGGACAGCCTTGCTTGGCGACCCCCATGAAATGGTCGATCGACCCCAAATGGGGTCCTGACCCACAGGTTGAGAACCACTGCTGTAAAGTGACGGAAGGTGTATGGAACCGGTGACGTCATATCTATGTCCAATGTGTTTTTAATTTTGTATTATTAACTAGCTGTACCCGGCCACGCGTTGCTGTGGCTCAGTCTCAATGCGCCATTGTGCATTCATCCCAAACAATAAGTTTGCATTTCTGCAATACTTTTCTCATGCTTTGGAAATGTTGCACGTGGGAGTTTCAATGAATTGAATGTTCAATGGCAATTTCAAAGCGTCCAACAGATGGCGCTGTTTTTCAAAAAAAGCATGTTTTTACCTGTCACAGGTGTGACATCTATATAATATAGGTATATAAAAACACGCGCATATTCAAATGCAACATTGTGTCAAAATTTCAAAGCAATCGGTGAAGAACTTTCGGAGATTTAAGATTTTGAACAAACGAACATTTACATTTTTATTTATATAGAAGATAAAACATTAAAAAAAAAAAGAAAGAGTTGCCCGGAATCGGCAACGCTCCACCTGGACAGAGACCGAGGACCCTGGAGGGAGGCACCTGCTGAAAGTCCTCCCTCCATCCTCCAGCATGGAGGTCAGGACACGGAGCAGGAAGCAGGACCCACCTTGCCGTCGCGCGGCCACCTCGCAAGAGACGTTGGGTATGTCGCAGTACAGGCCG